GAAAGGAAAGGAAAGGAAAGGAAAGGAAAGGAAAGGAAAGGAAAGGAAAGGAAAGGAAAGGAAAGGAAAGGAAAGGAAAGGAAAGGAAAAGGAAAAGGAAAAGGAAAAGGAAAGGAAAAGGAAAGGCTCTCATTTCTCAAGCTTCAGTCTCTATCTGGTGGCCAGACAGCAACACTGCAAGCTCAGAACTCCCTAAAACCAGAACATGAATCAAAGAGATGCTGCACCTCAGGTCTGAGAGACAAGAAACTGATTACAATTATAAATTGTAATTAAATAATAAGGAAATACCCACAAAGAAGCCCCATTAATGTGTCCCCAACACACTGGTGACAAAGCAGATTTTATGAGAATTGTGACTTTTAACTCAGGTGTGCTGTTTGAACTCCCAGCCTTTGGGGATAGAACACAAAACAAATTTCTGTCTTTATGGACATTTTCTTTTTTGTCCAAACAGATGGCATTGTTCTTTTTTAAATGATTTTTATTTTTTGGTTATGGAGAACCCTGAGTAGTTTATGGGATGCTTTAATTCAGTTTTCTTTTTTTTTAAAAAAAGAAAGAGCCACTACCATTCATTCATTAAAAGAAGAAAATAAAAAAAGAGATAAATTCAGCTGGTGTATAGCACATGTTCCACTTCACAAATAGAATAAATAATGAAGATTTCATTGTGTCAGAGCAACTTTTAGCAAGAATTCCAAGTGTAATTGTTTAATTGACTTGCATGGCCACACTGATGCTGCTGCAGTTAAACCATCATTAACAATAATGTTGATCAGGTAGTGGGAATATCTGAATTCAGATTTTTAAACTGGTGCTGCAGCACCAATTTGGCAATGATGTTGATGTGATCAATAAAACCTCTGGCCAAGATCTGGTCAGTAAAACCTTGAATTATGCAGAGTGATCTTAGATAAACAGAAATAGAAAGGTGTTTAACAGTCAGCCTGACCTTCCCATTCCAGGTGTTTCATGAAAGCTGAACTGCTGGAATTTGTTACCAAAATCTCAGCTCCTTTATCAGGTAAATCAATTTTCTAATAATTTCATAATTAAATGAAAAAAAAGAGTTGCAGGCAATCTGAGCATCCATGATGGAGACAAACAGAGCAGCAAAAAAAAAAAAAGAAACTTTGAAGTTGTGACAACTTTTAAGCTCTTATCTTTTATTGCCATCAGGCTGTGGTGAACTCACAAGATGGAACCAGTTAAAACTGGACAGAGAAATATTAATTTATTACTGCTACAGGAGAAAGATCCCAAATTTCTGTTCACTCTGGGCCATGTGCTCCCACACTTCCCTAAAATGAGCACTCAGCAGTCACAGCCAAGAGCAAGACCCCATCCTGCCAGAACTATTTGGGAAATAAAAGCCTTAAAAAATAACTCCTGAAGGAAAAAAATTAAAAAGACAGAGCTGGAAGTTTTTAACTGCAATTTAAAACCTCATAAATAAGTGAACAGCAAAACAATCTGGCTGGTCTTGGAGTATTTTCCTAGAATTCTTTGATCCTTGTCAGTGATGGGTTTGGGGACCACAGCCAGAAAGCAGTAAGAGCAAGAGAAAATTATGTAAATAATCTTTTAAGAGCGACTTATATGTGATTATTTATAGTACTTACATGTAATATAAATACATAGATTTTATATAATTGTAATGTAAATTGTTATTATTGTTTCCTAACCTTTAATCTGCAGCTGTGAA